TAGAGCTGTTCACTTAAAATGTGTTTTCTTAAATTTTCTTACTTTTTCTTTTCTAATTTTAAACTAATAATTAAAAATTTATAACATTTTTAATATTTTAAACCATTTAATAAAAATATGTTTATATTTTATCGTTATTTTTGATTTTGAACTTAATTTAGGCAATGGCCCACAATTCCCCATCATTTTTTTTTCTTCTTCATTTCATAGAAATACACTTTTTATGGTAAAACTGAAATTTCTTTTAGGTAAGTGATAATTTTGGAAAACTGACTATGATATATGTTAGTTTACCTCTTACTGACAGGAAAAATTAAAAAAAAAATTGTTTGTGTAAGATATTGAGCTAAGAAAAAGTGTGTCCCACAATACCCCAATCTCCGTTAAATATTTTATTAAATTTGAAAATTATTTGCAAAATTATTGTTGAAAAATAAGTTTTAAAAATTAGGGGAGGGGCATTATTAAGCAGGATTTTTTATAAAGTTCTATTACTAATTAAATTTTACAAATTTTGATCAGTTTTTTGCATCAAAATAAAACTAAAATACTCCTTTAACTAATACACACGTTACAAACCCAAATTATTATGACTTATTAATAAAATCGATGCACAGAATCTTCTTTACACATAACACATTTCTGAAAAATATTTGATTTTTTTAGATGCTGATTAAAATAATTCATTCTAAAGATAGGCTTTATTAAGCCTATCTTTATGTATGTACATTAAAAATTCTTAAAATAGAATTTAATTTTATACTTTTTTGGTACATTTTTAAGATTCTGTCTCTGTATGGACGAAGATAATTTTTTTTTTATAGATTCTACTCTGAAAAATAACAGCCTCTACTAGCTTTTCAAAATTTATTTACACTCAGGAAACTTCTAAACGATATGTTTCTAGAAAATTGTCAAAGAATTGAAATTAAAAATTATAAGATATTGGAAACGTTGAAAATGAGAAATTGTTTTCGATTTGACGTTACATTAGTCCATATTGACAATAATAATAATGAAAGAGTGATCAGTGATCGCACGTGTAAATCTACATTAAGAAAAGAATTTCTAAAGTAAACAACTGGTTGACCCTTCCTTATGTGCATTACGGAAATGTGAAATCTGAAGCTTTATTAATGGACTCTAACGATGAAAAGAAGGGGACAGTCTGACCCAAGTGCGACATACCTTGTGGCTATTTGCGCAGAAAGCAAACCAAGGGGTTTCGCATATAGTACTACGCCGCTCGTACAATGTACACATAAGGGTGAACCTTGTTGCCCGTACCTTCACGTCTCCTGATGCCAATATCTGCCAAATGAAAATATATCTGTCTACAAACAAGTCGGGAACTGCAAAATAGGACATAAACTTTTTCAACAAAAATTTATGTAATTTCCGTTAATTGAGAAATTTATTTTATAGTGTATTTCATTTATAAAACTGGTACAATCATTAATTTACTACAATCGATAAGAAGGTTTAAATTAAAAAGAGGACAGAAACGTTTCTATCAAATTGTATGTCGGTTTTGTTTACGGTCAATTGAATTGAAAATAAAGGGGAAAGAGGAATTGAATGATATTAAAATCAAATGTAGTTTATTAGAATTCAAGAATTACAAATTTTAATATTAAATGTAGTAATTTAATATAAAAACATAATAATTATTTCAACTTTATTATTAAAATTTTGACGAGTGATAGTTTTAATCATTATAATACAAAAGGCCAGTTTCACCAATTCCGATTAAAAGTTAATAAACGATTAAAGTCATTTTAACCGCCCATAATTTGTCGGTTAAGGATTTAATCATTGATTAACTTTTAATCGGAGTTGGTGAAACTGACCCTAATAATAATAATTAATTTTTAAAAAATATCTTTACTCAATAATAATAATTATTATTATTAAATTAAAATTTATCATACTTACATATTAAGTGATCAAGATAAAATAAAATTTTTGTCAATCACGCTTATACTTGGGGAAAATTTGTAGTTATATTAAATGGTAATTTATGGAAAAAACATTTTTTTTATTCAGATCAATATTTTTAGAGAGGAAGTGGGTGAAAGTTTTGGTGTGCACAATATATGATTTACTTTCATGATTTTTTCTTTTAAGTACTTCTTAGAAAGATTTTATTAACATAATTTTTAATAGATTTTTTCATGTCTTATCAATTAGTAATTTGCCTTTTTATAAAACAAATGTTGACCTAAAACTATGGACTTCAGTAATGAATTTGTTTTTTAGTGGAGAAAACACAATTTTAAAAAAAAAATTTAAAACATAAACACTGTATGATCCCATTTTTATATGTATTTCTCCTTAATAAGATTACTAAGAAAATATTTAGTGTTGGCAAAAATTAATGCCTATCAAATTATTTGATTAAACATATTTTTGTTTTCAACCAAAATACAGTGATGTCAACCACATAATTTTATATAATGCAGGGATCGAATTTAAAAAAAAAAATTTTTTGTCAATTACAAATAATTGCAAAAATTCAATTATTTTCAAAGATTTTAATAAAATTCTTGAAACAATGTCAATTGTTTTCAAAAATTTTCTTCAATTTAATATTTTTCCAATATATACTATTTTTAATAGAATTTTCCATAAGAATTTAATTATTTCGAAAATTTTTTAATAAAATTCTACGCAAAATTTTATTTATTTTCATAAATAATAAAAATTTCACAGAAATTCAATTATTTACAAATTTTTAAAAAATTTTTTCCTAATAATTCAATTATAATCATAAATAATAATATGTTTACAGAGATTCATTTATTATCATAAAAAATAAAATTTTTTGACAAGAATTTAACTATTTTCACAAATAATAAAACTCATTGCAGAATTTAAATTATTTTTAATACAATTTTAATCGAATTTCTCGAAAAATGTAATTATTTTTAAAATTTTTATTCAAATTTGACCAAATAATTTAATTATTCAAATATTTGTTGATGAAATTCTTTATGAGAATTGAATTTTAAGAAACATTCAATTATTCAAAAAATTATTTATTTTTGCATTTAAATAAATTTATTTAAAAATGAATTTTAGTTGAAATTTTAGATAATAATTGAATATTAAAAGCTTTACAGATTAATTTTTAAAAATAATTAAATTTTGAAAAGGTTTCAAATTAAAATCTTTGAAAATCTGAATTTTTCATATTTTTAATTGAAATTTAATTAAAATTTTGTAAAATTGAATTGTTAACAAATAAATTTGAAAATTCTCAAAGAACTTTTTTAAAAATTATTATAAATAATGAATTTATAGAAGAATTTTAGTTAAAAACACAAGAAAAAACTGAATTTTATTGAAGTTACAAATTATTGCAGAAATTCAATTATTTTCAAGAGTAATAAAATTTTTCGCTGAAATTTAATTATGTTCAAAAATAATAAAATTCTTTTTAGGAATTGAATTATTTCCACAAATACTCATTGCAGAATTTCAATTATTTTTAATAGAATTTTAATCAAATTTCTCAAAAATTGTATTAAAATTTGACAAAAGAATTTAATTATTCAAATATTTGTTAATAAAATTCTTTATAAGAATTGAAGTTTAAGAAACATTCCATTATTCAATAAATTACTTATTGTTAGACAAAAGAATTATAAACATGACACAAAAATAAGCAGTTTCAGATTTAAACAAATTATTTTATTGTACTTCAACTTTAAAATTATTTATTTAAAAAATCATATTTGAAATGTGTTAAAACGTCAATTATTACATTTCTATTTTAAAAAGTTGACAACGCAACCAAAACTGAGATATTGGCAAAAGTATTGGTGCAACGCGACAGTTAATATTCCATTTATATTGACAGTCTCCGTCGATTAATGTATAACCCTGGAAATGCATCAGTATTGGAACTAGGAGTTTCCACATTCATATGATCATCCAATGCGAAATCACATTCAGCATGTATTGGGATGTAAAGTAAATACGTTTATTCATCAAGTTGAATACATCGGATATTTTTCCCAGATAATTAGAAATTTCTTTAATTAATAAAAATCAAAAACATTCTGTTTGACGGTCAATTTAAATCCAAACTAATCCAATGCAAGCTCTCATTCTTCCAAAAGGACAGTCAAATTTTGACTGAAAAATAATTTTACTTTGGATACTACTTTGGTATGGTCACGTATTTTTCAAAGTAGAATCTTAAAAACTGTTTTTCTCAAATTCATCGATTTAAATCCGATTCAAATTGATTGAAACGTATCATGTTCACTATAACATTTGGTCAAAGTCGTAGGACAAGAGGCAATAATGACCCCAAAATCAGGTCAAAGATTACCACCTATATATATATATATATATTATAATTACCATACCTTCAGGTCAAAGGAATTGACCTCAGAACCCACTGTATCTTATTATTATTAAAATTTTATAATATGACCATTACGAGTTTCAAAGACTTTTTTATTTTAAACTTATCTTTATGTCACAAGTTAACAATGTAGATGATTTTGTAGATTATAAATGAAATCTTATTGAATGGGAAGTGTCTATTGGTAAAAGTTAATGAAACAAGAAACTATGTTTCTAAGATGCATAAGGGCATAAAATTCTATGTTCTAAAATTTTTAATAGTGGCTATAGAATAGTTGTGAATTACATGCACTACATTCAAGTGATGTAGTTTTAATATCATAGACCTATGATGATTTCTTTTGTCACAAGATTAATTTGAAACAAAGAGTTGTCACTCCATATCATCATAACTATAAAAAATCATTTGAATATGCTTATTTGTTTGTACTTATGTTTCAAGTACAGATACCTATCTTGAGGAGGTTTTTGGTCCAACAAAAGTATTGCATTAAACGTTGATAGTAGCATAAGTATTTTCCAAACTGTTAAAAACAGATAAGTTCGACTCGGGGTGAACAAAGCAATTTCTAAAAAATAATTTATTTTTATCTACACATTTTTGAGACATGTAATTGTTTCAGATGCCAGCGGTACATACAAAGGAGGCTGGAGCCACGCTACATCGCCAGCTCCTGGACAAGGTATAGTTTTTTTTACTTAAATTATATATCCGTATTTATCGTAAAGAATAATATATAAAATTAGTTAAATCAGTCGTTTCTAATATTGTCCAGTTTTGTAGTTCTGCAACCAAATATGAAAAGATATGACTTAAAATTTATCTATATGTCTTGATGCAGAAATCTTTAGAAACTATTTGTTCTTGTTCTGGTCGATCAACTAAAAACCATTCCTGTCTTTGGCTATGGAATCACCTACAGGCTTTAATCTTCTTAGAAAAGGGTTGACCAAATGGTCCACTAACCCAAGTTTTGCAATTTTTTTCTAACCTAATAGAAAATTAAAATATGCGATGAGAATGTTATCCTTAAAGACACAGATAAGAAAAGGAAAACGGATTTATGAAATATATGATAGAAATGAAAAAGAGAACAATATTTTCCGAAAGAAATATTGATTGGCTATGAAAATGTCACATTCAGAATAATTTTGGTATTTTCTCTAGCCCTAAAAATGAAAAAGATTATCTGCTGTTCGTAGACTTATATTCCTGAGAAAGCTCTTTTCTTCATCGATCGTCAAAGCCGCCATTTTAATTTTTAAAACATACAAATAATATTCCCGTACTTTCTTATAAAAGATCGATTATGCAGTACACTGTATAATCGATTTTTTAGTTCATTTAATTATACTCTTGCATAACAGGGTTCAAAATAATATATTTTCGTCCTTTAGAGTGGTTTGAACTCTTAATTGATTAATAAATAAAAGGTAATATTAAAACCAAACACCATGCAATTTTATTAAAGATTTTAAAGGGTTTAAAAATAATGTTCCGAAATTTTCGGCAAAGTAGATGAAATTAGAAACGGTAGGGTAATGATAAGTTAAAATGTTGGGGTTGGAGTTGCAAGTTCACGCGTCGCGGCGCACGAGTTGTTCCACGGAGTCGCTTGTGGAAAAGATGGGAAATGCGGGGCGTAGGCGTTGGCGTCCCGACGCTTTGTGACGCGTTGAACCGCGGCCCCTTTGTAGTCGAAAGCCCTGGGGCTTATAGAAACGACTGCTGCTGTTCAGCTACCAGTGGTGTAAACGTATAAAGCCGATACTGCTCTTTCTCTCACCCACAACCAACCACACTACTCCGTCAAACACACGAATACATATACAGGAGGAAAAGTGAGACAGCAAATATTATATTTGCCTGTGTGCTTAGGTGTGAGTGAGAGAAAGAGAAACAGAGAGAGAGAGAGAGAGAGAGAGAAGCGTGGACAATCATGGCAGAGATCAGAGCCATGCCTGTAGGCAGCTTGTTATAAACGGCTGTGGTTCTCGTGTGAGTTGGCGACGATAACACACAGTTTGATTGCTGTTTCGGCTTAAACCCAAATCATTTCTGAGAACTAGAGCTGACTTAGCTTTGCATAGTTTGCGTTTGCTTTCCCGAATACACTCACACAGGATGTAGGCAAGCGATCCATTCGCTTTACTTGAAAATTAGAAGGAGATGCATATACTGACCGCGAGCGCTTTTCTCTCCCGTGAAATTGAAATTACACAAGCGCTCAAAGAGAAGTGTTGGAGAAGTGCTTTCGTTTTATCTTTTTCAGGAAGTGATGCGACTACTAATATCGGGTCAAAAAGTATGAAGCCCTCACTTTGAACTCTTATAACTCGAGAAAATCCACAAAATTTTTAACTTTCAAGAATAAATATTCTTTTTTAAATTTGCAAACATGTTGATGTCACTTTTATAGTCCATGTAAACCAATTTAAATAAAACTTGGTATACAGGGGTTTTTGGGACCGCTGCTTACAAATCGGTATCCGACCATTTTCCCGAAAACAATTTCCCGAATAGCAAAATTCCCGAATAACCTAGTTCCCGAATGACATATTTTCCCGAAGGCGATTTTCCCGAAGACTTAAAATTTTTATAATGTAATGTTGCACGCGGCTGCTCGTAAGTAATCCATAATTCGATGTTCATCTTTATAAACTTGGAAGGTTCCGGCTATTGTCTGTAGGCGAATTTTGAAAGCAATTCCTGCGTGGAAATGAAAGTCTGGGCAAAATCCAGCAAAGTTTATCAAAGTACAGAATAGTATGGCTTATAAGCGTTTCCCATACTTTGGAATGTACATGGGTAACAACGATATTTAAAGTACGGGAAAAAGAAAATAGGTTTTTCGGGAATATTTTCGAATGAAGAACTACACCAAAGTATTGGAGGCGAGTTTTTTTGGATATGCAAAATCAAAATATTCAAGTTTTAAATTTGTGAAGTTCGGGGCAAGCCAGGGAAAGTGCAGAAAAGTATGGGAGATTTAAAAAAAGGTTTGTTTTGGGAAATATTAAATCTGAATTAATGAAAGAGTGGAGATAAATAAAAGATTTAAAAAACAATAAAATTTTGACATGCCAGTTTCAATAAATAAATGACTTCGATACTTAACGTTGGTATGCAATAATAAAAAAAGCGCATACACAAATTGATAATATTTATATTGTTCGAAAATTCGGGTTTCAAGACATTAGGGAAATTCGCTTTCGTGAAAATCGATTCGGGAAATTCACCTTCGGGAAAATATGTCATTCGGGAATTTTGCTGTTCGGGAAATTGTTAATCTGCTGTGAAATATAAAAAATTAAAATTGGCGGACCAATTTTTAAGAATAGTTTACATCTTTATGATAAAATTGTAAAATGAAAAAAGAATTCCGCCATATTGGATCCACCATTTTGAGTTATTAAAGTCTGATTACAGATTCGCAATCAGCGGTACCAAAAACCCCTGGATACCAAGTTTTATTTAAATTGGTTTACATGGACAAAAGTAATGTTATTTTCAATACGTTTATAGAACAACGTATGTCCCATTGGATATTAAAGTTTAAAGTGTATATAAATTAAATTTTTTGTTTTTGGATATTAAAGAGCACTGTTTAAGCTTTTCTGTGTTTCTATGCGGACAGATTTACTGTTTCGGTATATGATTTTACATTCATTCAAAAAATTCAAAAAATGCGTATTTTTGCGTATTGAAACGTAAATTGCTCAAAAACTAGAGCCAATACATGCAAAATAATTTTTTATCCTAATTATAAGAATTCAAAGTAAGGACCCTATAGTACAAAAATGTCATCAAAGCTTTACTTTCCCGATGGATGTTTAAAATTCATTTGTCTTAAAAATATTATGTTAACAAAAAAGGTCCGATCTCTGGTTAAGAAATTTAGATTTCCCGCATCAAAAACAAAATCTAAAAAGAAGAATTTTTTGTAGAATAAACTAAACTTTTTAATAGTCATTCTCTGTTAACAGCTGCCACACCTGAAAATAGGTGTGTTTCTATTGTCTTCAGACACCAATGAATATTGGCAGCTTAAACTCTATAGATATTAAATTGAAGCCAAACAGAAAGTGGAAACATAAAAGTGATTCCTAAAAATTTAAGATATGATTGAAATTTTCTATTAAATAAAATTAAGTGGTGCTGACAATCTGATTATACTGGAGTTTCGAAACAAATCTCTTCCTTAATAACTAACATTGGCTCTAGCCAAAGCCGAGGCCAAAGCATAGAAATCGATAATCCGATTCGATGTCGATTTTCTATATCACTGTACACGTAAAGCTTTATTATTAGAAGTAGTTTAAGATAAGTCTTACAATAATAAAAAAATAATTTCCGAAAGGCAAGGGACGTAGATTGCGTGACTTCCTGTTCCTGCCTTGACTTGAGTATAAGCTCAGAACGTTCTGAAACCCCTCCTTTTTGTATGCAGCCACTGGGGTTAAAGAGTCGACCAATCATGTTCCCACCCCAATCGCCTATGATAATTACGTCCTCGGAAACGGCGCGTGCCTTGGCAGTTTGCTCACGCGTCTCATCGCCTGTCTCTGTACTGTGAACAATGTACATGGCGTGACTATCACAATATTATAGATACTACATAGACCATAGGGCATAAGTAACGATTTCAGTTCTTTTCACTTGTCTTGGTTAACGTCGCCAAAAGATCAAAGATCACAAGTTATCATTAATATATAAAGCATCAAAAAGCTTTAGTAGAGAATTGTGTTTGTAATTATGAGGCGAAACTTAATGCCCACAAAGCAGAGGTGGGTCGGGAAATCACAGAGGGTTAATTATCTTGATATTTATTTACACCTGGACTTTTTTAATTGAAGGTCACATAGGGAGGCACAGTTATTATTGCGTTTGATTTTTTAATTGATTTTCAAACACTGTTGCTTTGTACTAAATAATCATGTGTTTTTTTCTTATTTTCTAACTAAAATTTCTATTGAATCAAGATTCATGGTAGAAAATTGCTTCCAAGTAAAAAGTAAAAACCGCGAATATATATTCTCAAAGTATCGACTGTTTATCGATAAAATCGAATAACTCGAGTAAATAATAACAGATTTTGCTCAATTTTTTTTTCTTGGATAAAGAATGATAAAAAAAGAAAAAATTCTGATAAGTTTATTCAATATTTTGGATATTTTTATAGAATTTCAGCAAAGAAAACTGAAAAAATTGTGAATTTTCGAGATTTAGACAAACGTAGAGACTAAACTTCTGAACAGATTTGTAAAATATTCTGGAATATTATTAATTGGACTAAAATCTCTATATGTGTTGCAGGAAATTTCAATACATTTCGTATTTATTGAAATATTTAGATTTTTCCGAAAAAAATTAAATTTTTTCAAAATTTAGACGAACGTAGAGCCTAAACATCTAAACGGATATGTAAAATACTCTAGAAAATTATTAATTGGTTTGAAGTTTTGATATATATTTCAGGAATTTTCAATACATTTCGTATTAGATTTAAAAAATGAAATCTATTTATTGGTCTTAATAAAAAATTTCTATTTGAGACAATTTGAAAATCTTGGCTTAAATTGCCTTAAATAGAAATTTTTTATTTAAACGAATAATTAGATTTAATTTTTTAATTATGTTAATCATGAAATTAATTTCATATTTGTTACAATTCAATATAGA